TTGAATGATGCAACTGCCAGACGTCAGGGTCACAGGGGCCCCTCTCAGAGCAGATTGCCAAGGAAACCCCTTCATCCGTTAAAATACCGTGAGGCCCTGTAACTCAAGATCAATAGCTCTGAGAGAGGATGTGATGTCGTTTTCTGGTCAGCTGATGCACACTGTGTTAGCGAACAATAGCGACAATACCTAGCACACGTGCTCCATTGTTGCAGTGAAACTGAGACATAAGGCATTTCCCCTGGGGCTTCCTTTCACCCCCCCCATCTGTCTTTGTTGTATTTGTTTGCTAGACAGCATTTGGCTCCAACCGTGTAAGAAAGACCACTGACAATGTTTTGGTTTAAAAACACAGACATCAAATGTACCACCTATGTAGCTTTTTATATTTGATTTGAATTGTTGGTAAATAATGCTATATATGTATATATATATGTATACTCTATAGTGTTATGCTCTCCATATATATATATATATATATATATACATATAGAGAGAGAGAGAGGTAGAGAGAAAAAGCACAACACTCCCACATGATTATTTACTTAAAAGGTCATCTACCTATTATTTATACTATCTTCCAAATTGTTTCAGTCTGATTTGGCATGGGTTGAAGATGTCTGCATTAGATGTCTGCTGTCAGCCTATTACAATAAAATACAATGGCAAAAAATAAGAAAATGTATTTGAAAAAGGCTGCAGATATTCAGAAATCATGACACACCTTTGCTATTCTTAGTTGTTTCTGGAATTGCATAGACCTGGATTTTTTCTACGAATAAACTTAAAGCTAGTGTTTACATAATATAATGTGGACCAAAAAAAAAAACTGCATCAATAACTCTGGCTCCACCAAAAGATGACTGTTATTACTGACTTCTTTTTTAACCCATGCAAGGATGATTATCTTTTGGACCATCTTGTTTGTTTGTTTGACAATTTGTTTGTCTGTCAACAGAATGAGGGAAAACGTACTTTCCAAATTGTTATGTTTTAAATAAATAAACATTGATTGATTGATTGATTATGAAACTTGGTTGAAGATTGTACCATCAGCCAATAAAAAACCCATTCAATTTTGGAGTGTGTGCAAATTACAAAATATGGTTATTTTTTGTTGACATAGTGAGTAAGGACATTTTCTATCCAAAGACATTGGCAGTACTTTTACAACAAGTCTCCAGCCGTTCCCTTTAAAGGAAGACGCAATCTGCTCGATAATCAGCTCACGGCATATAGGCAGGGGTAAAGTGCTATCTTTTATTAGTGGGGGGCAGGACTTCACCTCCTCTAGGGGGGTCCGGGGGGATGCTCCCCCGGGAAGATTTTTTTTTAAATATTGAAGTTAAAAGCATCAATCTGGTGCACTTTGAGAACAACATTAAGAGATCTATGGATACATCTCTCAATACATTACATTTCATTTTAGCTGACGCTTTTATCCAAAGTGACTTACAATTACCAATTAGAGGACCATTCTCCCTGGAGTAACTAAGGGCTAAGTGCCTTACTCAAGGGCACACTAGTGGTGGTGTTCCAGGCGGGAAGACCCATATGAAACAGAACTGTAAACAGATTATCTTTTTCTTTATGGATATTTTACAAATCACTCCCCTTTTAAACTCTATTCTTGTTTTACTGCCATATAGTAGTTTTCATAACTGTTTTTCCTTTATTCTCTTTTTTGTATAACTATAATGATCATATGAAGGTGTGCTGTGGAGATAATCTTTTGAATAATTTGTGACCAAACCGTTTGAGACCCACTGAGATAACTTAGACTAAAGTTAACTATGTAAACACTCAGAGTCCTTTGTTTAGCTCACAGAGCCTCTCAGTCTGTCAGGAGAGGACTCTCCTCCAGCTTGTTGTGGAAACAGCTCCTTTTGTCCGTTAGTGTAGCTAGCTAACCAGTCAGATGCTAACAACACGGGACCTGCTGGCACCGGTCCCCCTCTCTCCCTCTCACTCTCCTCTCTATCACACTAAATGCGCTATCGCCACACACACAGAGAGCCGAGCTTGAATGACACAAGCACACGTTTATTTCCATGCAACTCTCTGATTGGTTTGGTGTCTTGCCTCTGTTGCATTCACTGAACACGGGAAATTACATTTCTGCCGTCCTCTCTTGTGTCATGATGAGGTTCACGTAAAGCACGGTTAATGTATTACATTATTGAGCGAGAATTGTCCGGGGCCACAGAAAAAACCCAGGCCAGGCGACCCCACTGGTATTCTGTATCAATTTTAGAGTTCCTTTGGTTTATTTATTTATACATTTATTTGTCAGGGACATATCGAAAACATAGTAACAGTATAATCACTCGAGGTGAATGTGCATAACTGATGTACTTAATATAGGGTTTTTGAAGCTGATTTGTGACCCTGTCACTGGCTGGTTTGATTTTGGTACTAAAAAGTGTAATGTTTCGTGTTTCATAAATAATGTTGCATAAGATTATGTTAAATGTAGATGGGAAATACCAATAGTCCATGGGCCTACTTGATCTCAACAACAATTCAGAATCAATCTCTCTTCTTAGCATAAAAAGACAACACAAGATGTTGTCACATTACGACCAAAAGCTTATTAACTCACTGTAAGGGAAACTTCTGTGTAGCAATGCAGTGGGAGTCACCGACTCAGGAAGGAGACACGGTGGAGCAGGAGCTTTGATGTCAAACACTGATGATTTATTTGGAGTTTCGGCCGGAGAGTTCACATCACAAGTCACAGCAGTCACGGTCTGACTGCACGGGTGGTTGCCACATAAATTCTGGAGCGCCTCTCTCTCGTTAGCCCATTTAACTGGTTTCACAGAGAGTAATCAACATATTTTGATAAGATAGTTTAAACAGTTGGGCACACTGAGTCACCTGCGTCCGTCACTTATGGCCTCGAAGATGTCATACCTTGGAGTCCACAAACAACAAAGAAGGAAGTGTCCCAGTGCACCCACAACAACAGACCATCTGTGACCTACACTGTAAAAAAAAAACTCGTAAAAAAACGGTCAAAGTACTGGCAGCAGCGGCTGCCAAACAAAAACCCTTAAATTAAAGTAAAATACTTTAACTGAAATAAAGTGAATAAGCCATTAATTTACGGGAATTGTCCTTAAAGATTTTACAGGAAAACACTGTAATTTTACAGATTTATACTCTCTTTTTACAGTCAATAACCTTAAATAAAAGTACATCACTCATACTTCTACAGGCAAATACTCTAATTTTATAGATGTATCCTCTCTTTTTACAGTCAATAACATTTAATAAAAGTACAGCACTAAAACTTCTACGGGCAAAAAACCTGTAAAAAAACGGTCAAATGACTGGCAGCAGCGGCTGCCAAACAAAAAACATTAAATTAAAGTAAAAATACATTAACTGAAATAAAGTGCAAAAGCAATTAGTATACAGAAATTGTCCTTAAAGATTTTAGAGGAAACTTTCCTCTCTTTTCAAAATCCATTGTCTTAAAATGTTACATTAAAATACCTTAAATAAAGTTCTGATGAGAAAAACAGTTTACATTTTTTTTATTAGATTTGTATGATCAAACACTAAAATAAATACAGAACCTAAAGTTAGAATACTGTTATCTTACAGCTTTTTTCTAACATTTTCCAATCAAACAGGTTCAACAAAATGACATCACAAAATGATCTGTAGGAAACAATTACTCTGAAAACTTAAAATGAGTGCTGTCAAAATTATCGCGTTAACGGCGGTAATTAATTTTTTTAATTAATTGCGTTAAAATATTTAACGCATTTAACGCATGTGCAGAATGGCCCGCCCCATACGTGCCACCAGTGGCAGCGCCAGGGTATGGCTGGGGTAGGCTACACCCATACCAAGAAATGGCTTAGCCCCACCATGAAAAATGATGTTAAAGGAAGCAAAATAAAGTCTGCCAACTCGCGGAGTAAATTGCACAGACAGCAGTTAGTAAGATTGATTTCAGTAGCCACGGTTTTGAAAACTTTTGTCACGTAGTGATCGTCTTCTCAATAGAATATCTTTGATAACGGCGTGGTGTTGTTGCAGGAAGTCCCGACGGAGAATACTTTTGCTGTAGTACAGGGGTGCACATAACTGGTACGCAGGTTATGTGCGTAATCTGAAATGCGTACCGTCACTTGTGTCACAAAGCGCATTTGCTTACCGACGTACTTGTGAAGCTTTTCCAGAAGGCGGTTAGATCACCGGACGACAGTCGGTCTCCGTGTGCACAGACAGGGCTGCTGTTAACGTCGGTCTGTACAACGGAATTGTGCCCAAACTACGCCAACCGGCTGCGGAGGGAGACTCCCCCCCCCCCTTCACTGGAGAACTGCGCTAAAACAGCTGATCACAACGTTCACACTTTGTGGTCACGAAGTACTCCACTAGCCGCCCCTGTAGGATAATGAATATTGGCTGCAAAAAACTTGAGGCCCAATCATGTTTCCTTTGTCCATTCTGCGCTACTGTAGACGTGGCAGTGCAACCTAGAGGACAAACCGATCAGAATCAGAAACGGGTTTATTGCCAGGTAGGTTCACACGTACGAGGAATTTGACTAGGTGTCGTGCACCACGACACCTGGACACACGACATACAAATAAAAAAAATTACAAAGTACACAGATAGCGAACTATATTAAGAACACTGTAATAAAAATATAGTAAGATAGAAATAAAATAAAGCAGTAACTTACATCGAAATAGAATGCAATAAATTATAGAATATAAAATATGTGCAGTAAGCAATATTTAAACATTGCATTATTTACCATCCTGTGATCTCCATTATGTAATGCATAGAGTCTGCGTTGTGGCTGAGGTAAAGTGTCAGTGGGGGGGGGGGGCCTTGTTGAGGTGGCGAGAGGTTCTGGTCCTGATGGAGAGAGGTTCTGGTCCTGATGGAGAGAGGTGTTGGTCCTGATGGAGAGAGGTTTTGGTCCTGATGGAGAGAGGTTTTGGTCCTGATGGAGAGAGGTTTTGATCCTGATGGAGAGAGGTTCTGGTCCTGATGGAGAGAGGTTCTGGTCCTAATGGAGAGAGGTGTTGGTCCTGATGGAGAGAGGTGTTGGTCCTGATGGAGAGAGGTTCTGGTCCTGAGGGAGAGAGGTGTTGGTCCTGATGGAGCGCAGCCTCCAGCCAGAGTGTTGTGTTGAAGGCAGAGCTGAAGTCCACAAACAGGATCCTGGCGTAGGTTCCTGCTGTGTCCAGATGCTGGAGGAGGAAGTGAAGTGATAACTATTAGTAAACCATAATGATGGATGTTATTATCAGCAGCTGCCAATAGATCCCCTACATCTTGTATGATGGACCTTTGAAGCACAAGCACGCACTATTGTGGGAACAATCAAACGCACCCTCCCAGGCACTGCGTGTTAGCGAAGTACAACTGGGATTTCGAAGAGGAAGATATGCTTGGTTAATTCTTAATAAAAAATAAAAACCAACAAATTGAGCACTTGAGTTTTCATTAGCAGCGCCTAGCTACAGCTGCGGAGCTTTGGTAAATACCGCTAACAGTTTATTTCCTTAAAATGGTACATATCGCTGAATCTATATTTTTATCTTCAGGTGATGAAATCTGCATAATGTTCCTGTACAATAAGATTCGAGCATTTTGTAATACAGTGAGGAAATTCAAGACCAGTAAATATTGATTGATTAAACAACACTAAATAAAATGTTAGTGTTTTCTTCAAACTCAAGACTCTCTGCTGCGGCTGTACCTTAAAGACAAAACAATTGTCTGATGATCTTTGTTGAACAAGGTCTGATTGTCCTGTACATGTACAATGTGGGGTATTTTTAAATACTTTACTAAACCACATTCAATATTATGTTAGACACAAGTTAGTTATTACTCACATATCAAAGTATTTTCATCTGCAAGAATAGCTGGGTGCTGCCTGGAGAGACTGATGAGAGGGACACAGGCTGGCGTTAGCAGCTTTCCACACAAAACCATCACATCTTCTCTTCCATAGTCTTCGCTGTCCACTGGTGCTCTGTCAAAAGAGTGAACATCACAGCTGTCACGTTAACCCTTTGTTACACAACATACAACCAACATGTGTCAAAAGTGACCCGAATTAGTTTTAATTGTAAATATCTTTGCAATAAATTACTTTAACCATTCAGGATCCCAGGTATTCCTCAATTAACATGTTTTGGATCAACACCAATTCTAAAAATTTGTATTTGTCCCTTTCTTACTTTTTGAATAAAAATCATGTTTGTATCACTACACTTCTAAGGCACAACATGGGTCAAACATTACCCGTATTCTTTTGCTATGTTATTTCATGCATGGCTGAGTGTTTCTTTACTATACATTTTCAAAAATAATTAATTTTAGCAGTGATTTGGACCAAGCATGTATGATGTAGTAATACAAAAAGTATTTTAGTTCACAGTGTGACATTAGCTAGTCATGTTAGCGTGTAATATATAGAGCAGAGCTAACTAGCAAATTAGCCGAACGTTAGCGGTTAGCTGTTTATGCTATGCTAGCTGTTGGCTACTGAACATTAACAAACTAGATTCCGCTGTAAAAAAGCTGTGAAACTTTACATTAAACTTGGCGACAACACTGTGATACCCCACTGCATGTTTATGTGTAATTCTCCCGTGTTGGAGACGAGAGGGTGGGGGGGTGGCACTGCAATAAACTGTAAACTAACGTTAGCAGCCGCATGTTAAGCCGGGTTTCCCGGGCGCAACATCTTGCAAGAAACAGCATCTCAGGGATTCCTAACATTTAACAACCTATTAATTATGCATACCAACTTAACGGGAAGAAACTCAGCTAACTAGAAGAAGAAACGTAACCTTAAATAAAAAATAAAACATTCACAAACTAAGTAAGGATTATCTAAATACATGTTTAACTCCATTACAGTTGCAGGACTCACCAGATCTCAAGTCTTCTGTTCTTTGTTGACGTCCCGATGCTCATATTTAACGTGTAGATGTAAAACGATCCCGATATGAATCCATAAACTCCTGTAGCAGACACACAGATAGCTGTTGCTCCAGCAGGAGGAGACCCGCTCAAACTGACTTGGATGTTTCAAATGTGAACGACAGGCGCGGACAGTTCTCATTGGCAGGTTTCTTCGATGATGTTTATATTAACCAATCAGGAGTGTTGTGGACTCATTCCAAACATGCCTGACTTGTCTGCCGTGTTTTGGCTGAATTCTATTTCAAGTGCCGTAGCTCTGGCTGTCGGCCAGAATCCGAAAACCATACATTACACTGTAAAACTAAGGTTTATTACTGTAAATTGACCAATGGAAAAAAAACACAGCAACAGAACACATAAATAAAACAAGGATAACTGTGACTTATTGTTGAGTAAATAACAGTGTGTGTTTTAAACCTTGGTCCTCCCTGCAGAGATTTCTCCACTTTCTATAATTTTTTTTTTTAATGATATTGTCAACTGTAGATGTTTACAATATAGTAAGTTAGGAATTTCATGAAAACATATTTATTTACTTTTGTTTCAACATTGGATATTTTGTGTTTTTGTTGGATTCAATCGAATATTGAGAAAATGATTTATGTAAAAATGTTTTACTTACATTTTACGTTTTTTTTATTTTACGCTTTTCTTACAGTTTTATGTTTACCTTAAAATTACAAAGAACATCTTAAAGTCTTATAATAGTAATACACTTTTATATTACGAGTTACATATTTAATTACAGATAAAAACATTTTATTTTACGTACATCTGCATGTATTTTCTGAAAGTGCAAAAATACTGTAAATATTATATAGTAAATTTACAGTAAAAAAAAGACGAAATAAACGTTATTTGTTGTTATTGTCAAAATACTTCAAATAATGTTTTGGGTTGTTAATTTATAGTTAATATCTGTCATTTTACAGGATTTTGCAAGTTATTTAAAAAAACATGATAATTACTATACAAATTTACAGTTATTTCCTGTAAAATTACGATCTTTTTTTACAGTGTAGTGTTGACCGGTCACAGAATGGGAACAATAACATTATGGCTGAAGCAGCCTATGTCCTTAAAGGAGATAAACAGACGTCAGGGTTGGTCCTGTACGTCATATCTAGGAGTCTAGGACAATTATTTCCCTAACACTCACCACAGTGGGTAGAACATCTCCCCAAATCGAGACTAACCTAGGACAATTGGCCTTGGTAAAGGTGAGAGCCATTGTATCATAGTTGATGAAATAGTTATTTTAGTTTCTGAAAATAAGCATTAAAACAAAGTTATTGTCTGGAACCTCTCTTCTCTTTAACTACACTATTGACCGTTATTAAGCAGTGTTGATTCTCGACCCTGTAAAATAGTGAGGTTCTTATTGGAGGTAACAGAGGTTGGACCACAATAAATACATTGGTCATAATACTCTTGAGATCTCCCAACAGCCGAAAAGCATTTATATTCCTATGGTGTGTGCCATAATCTCTTTACTAGGTGTGTGTGTGTGTGTGTGTGTGTGTGTGTGTGTGTGTGTGTGTGTGTGTGTGTGTGTGTGTGTGTGTGTGTGTGTGTGTGTGTGTGTGTGTGTGTGTGTGTGTGTGTGTGTGTGTGTGTGTGTGCTCTAAGGCTGTTTCAAAATAGCTTTGTCTCTCAGTGATGACTGGAATAAAGTAAAAGTAATGTTACCATTTGCCATTTTATGTGAAATGAAATGTTTTGCTTTTTAAAAAATATTAGTTATTTTTTGTATTCTATCCTTTCATTTATATCAGTTGAAGTCTCAACTGCAACAAAGTCCCCAGAAATATCAATCACATGGCTTTAGGAATCATATTTTTCCTCCAAGCTAATATTACCTTTCTCATCCCAAAATGCAGAAGCAATAATGAGCAGAATCATCAATCCTACTCTCTGACACTTTACGCTTGAAGAATAATTTTCATGTCAGGCAATAACTGCTAGTGAGCCTCAGCGGCACAAGCTCTGGGCTTGCGCCTACACCACAGCCTAATGGGATAGATCAGCTCTTGCATAACTGGGGGCAATCACTCACTCCGTCTCCTCTCTGACAGGACTCAGTTATGGCTTCTGGGTAATATCATTTCTGTTATCTTAAGATATCAGATTTCTGTCTTTATTGGCAAAGACCTTAGAAAGTGGAGGGTAGTTTGCTCGCCTTGTCAAGACAGAGGATGACAAATGAAAGCGTATTTGTCCATCTCCCAATACCCTGTTTAGGAAAGGATTCTCAGTACTTTTATGACATTATAAGGGATCCAGAATTGTTCACAAAATGGGATGTCATGGAGCTTTTGTTAAAGCATAACCTATACTCTTTACCTGAAGTATAAAGTGTGTTGAGACCTTTAAATTCAATGCCTCAGGGGGTGTTTCGCAATGGTTTCATACACTGTTTGTACACATCCTATACACATTTGCGATGTATCTTATGACCCCAATATCAAAGAATAATATTTATTTATCAAACCACTGTATACATTTGTCATAGTCAGTAGTATATTCCATCATAAACAAATCAATGCTTTGCAATTTAGTTTTTTTTGTAATCAGATAGATACTGTCAGAGATTGTCTCACTGTATCTGCAAGCTTTAGAGTACTGTTGTACTGTAATCAGTGGCAGCCGGCCCATAGGGGCGCTAGGGGCGCCGCCCCACCTCTTCCCACATACAAAATAAAAAAATAAAATATATTTAAAAAAATATTTTTTTATTTTATTTTAATTTTTAATAAACAAGGTAAATATGATATAATTGTTATCAGTAAAATGTATAATCTACAATAAAATCTCGTTTAAAATTGTGTTACGACGATGTCTAAAGTTACTGATAAGTCACATGTTTCCTGCCTGGCCTTGCCCATGTGTCATTACCTTTATATATACACAGTCTATGGTCATTACCCTCTCTCGTCTGGGCAGTAAGAAAGGAGCCCTCAACCAGTGCAGCAGCAGCCACTAGCAGCTGACTGTTGCTATCTGTAAACTATGATGCCGAAACATAATTTCAGCCAATCAGCATCGTCAAATCTGATGATCACCGGGCGCCAATGTCAGCGCCCGGTCCAGTCTGTGAGTAGTTTGGACACTAGTGACTCGTATCCGGTGGGGTGACGCAGTACGGCAGTAGTTGATGAGGATGGCTTCATGTGCAGGTGGAGTCCCCGCCCAATTCCGTTCAAGAGCTAATCTCCAATCCTTTCGAAAGGAGAAGTTTGGGAGATAAACTGTTGCTTAAAGACCTTGGACCGGACCAACCCGATTTGTATATATCGCAGCAAGCTCGTGAAAAAGACAAAACGTATCACCGAGGCTTCTCACGTAGCTGGTACACCAGAAAGGCATGGCTAGCTGGATGCAAACAGGTAAATGCTGTATTTTGTTTCCCATGCTTGCTCTTCAAACAGCCGCGCCGGGGACAGATACGATCTGTTCAGAAACTAGACAAAAGTTAAACAAGTACAAACCACAGACTGTCTGTGTCATGGAGAATACAGTCGCTGGTTTATTTATGTCTGTATAGGCCGTTGTTGTGAGTGTGGACGGTCGGAGCATATATAACGTTAGCTTAGCCAAGCTCCATTTAGTAAACACGCATTTTGAAAGGGTTTTTCGCCTGCCGTCTGTCTGCAGACTTGTCAAAGCGTTAATTCATGGTTTTTACTAACCGGTATCAGTATGTTGTTACTTCAGCATCATTTTGAAACGTGTATTACAATTAAATCACGGTAAATATGTTCATCTGGTTGTAGTTGTAGCCCCCTTGCCAGCGATTCTGTCTCTAGTTTAGCATACTCAGCCCGACTCAGCCTGGTTGTTCCTGGCCCTAGAACCATGATTTTATGGGGCCAGAAAAACTGTGAATTAGGACCCGCTAGCCGGTACTAGGCCAAGTGGAAACGCAACCAAAAACGGGCCCCGCACGGCTCGGCACGCTTAAAGCGAGCTCCGCGCTGCACTGGAAACGCGCCATTACATCACCAGAAGTCCTAATTTAAGGGGTAATTTCTCCCAAAATACGTTTTACTCACTATATCAACAGCCCCACCAAAAATATTTTCCACCAGCCGCCACTGACTGTAATGTATGGTGGCCCTGAAGTGCAAGTCAAAAAAGCATTTCAGGAAACACCACAGCATTTCTGGAAACACCACAGCATTTCAGAAAACACCACAGCATTTCAGAAAACACCACAGCATTTCAGAAAACGCTACAGCATTTCAGAAAACATCACAGCATTTCAGAAAACACCACAGCATTTCAGAAAACGCTACAGCATTTCAGAAAACACCACAGCATTTCAGAAAACACCACAGCATTTCAGAAAACACCACAGCATTTCACAAAACACTACAGCATTTCACAAAACACCACAGCATTTCAGAAAACACTACAGCAGGGGTTTTCAAAGTGTGGGAAGGTGAGCCTCCCTTCAGAGAACATAAGAACAGCCGCGCGCCCCCCCTCCCAATTATTATTGCTATTATTTTTATTGTTGCTATAATGCAGGGGGGTATTACAGTTTTTCTCGATTGCTAACACACTAAAATGCTACATAAAGCACAATTATTTTAACTGACACTCAAAGAGCAAAACATCGGCTCAAATCTCCAAAACTCTAAACACGTTTTCAGCTTTTCACACAATTTGCAAATCAACATGGCACTTTTTGCAAACCACTACACACGTTTCTCCAAGTAAGACACAGGAATCTGACATAAAGTCACATGTTAGCAGGTTTAAAACACTGATATTCAAAAGACCTCACACATGGACCAATGATCAAGAAACACGTTCCACCTGACCAAACACCTGATAGCATAACTGTTGGCGCATCAATCAGGATGTTAGCACTATAAAAAGACCACAGGTGAGTACTTTCTTACAGCAACAATGGAAGCCAACATGGAAGCAAGAGCAAGAGCAAGAGCAAGAGCAAGAGCAAGAGCAAGAGCAAGAGCAAGAGCAAGAGCAAGAGCAAGAGCAAGAGCAAGAGCAAGAGCAAGAGCAAGAGCAAGAGCAAGAGCAAGAGCAAGAGCAA